TAAAATAAACTAGAACTTGGGATGTTTATGACCAAAACAACTAATAGATATTTTCCTTATTTTCATTTTCACAATCAGTAGCATAGTTACACCTCCGCATAGATACCATGGACTATAGTAGACAATGGTGAGTGGTGCCAAATTAACCAAGCACAGAGAAAGTAGCTCCAGTGCTATTTCCATACAAACACAAAAGAGAGGCTGGCTGATGAGGGGGTATTAAAGAGGCCTGAGGAAAGGAACTGGACAAGGACTTCTGGAGTCAGTGACAGCACTTCAGAGAGTCTTATTGTTCCTGGTTGTCTCTCCTTACTGTAGGCCTCCAAGATATTCATGTGAAAGGAAAACTCTCCTTAATATCTCTCCTACTTTTTGTATTGGATAAAAAAACATATCAGACTTTTAAGTTAAAATGTATTCCTCTTTCTTCCTAGAGCCACATTATACTTAATACTTGACTACATTAGATACAGAAATACACACAAACTAATCGTAACTACAAACCAGGTACTATAGACCTAGTTAAGTTAAACAGAAATTTTGTGGGTAACTGGGAATAAAGATAGAAAAATTATTTTCAGGAGGATTTCTGAGTCTAGGAGTGAGAAACTTATTAGTGTAGGTGAGAGGCCAGATGGACACCTATTTCTTTATTAGTGAAGACATGAAGGAAGGGCATTTCCAAACTGTAGTTACACAGTGACCATGCCTGTGAGAGACTGCTGAACTACAAGACCTTTCTGAACTTAGAGCTATTTCAGAAAAGTAACTTTCAATGTAAAATATATGCAGGAATCTATTTTCTATGGTTACCTCAAGGGCTCTGCCATTGAATAAGATTTATCTCTTTAGAGTAATAACCATGAAATGTTGCTATTACTTGACCCATGTGATCTACATAATCTGTGACCAAAACTTTAGAAAAATTAAAGGCAGATGGAGCAAAAACACCAAGGTCAACAACAAATGGAAAGACCACAGACTGGAAATTCTGGCTTTCCTCTCTATCTGTACCACTCAAATGGCACCTATCACATTCTAATTGTATTAAAAGTATTGGCTCATGCATTCCTGCAACAAAAACTATCATGCCCAGTTTAGGTTGTGTGCCCCTTTAAATGCTGAGTTTATACAGGTGATTAAGACAAGGTTTATGTCCTCCAAAAGCACATTCTAGATGGAAGAAAAAGTCATAAAGAAATGTACAATAAAGGCATAACTATATGTGACAGTACAGCACCACAAGATGTTATAAACAGTAAGCAAGGTGTGACATTTAGGCTGCGTCTTGAAAGACTAATCTGGGCACCTGAACGTCTTATCTCTTTTACTGATATGAAGGCAGGAGTCATGCCTCACTATATCCCTCACAATGGCTTTATCATTGTAAGTGCCAAATAAATATATGTAGAATGAATAAGTCAAACAAGTCCAAATTTTTAGCTTTTCATGAAGGAAAAATACAAATAAATTTCAAAAATAGAATAAATTTTGTTCTGTCAGTGGGAAAAATAATCTTTGGGTAACTCAAATTTCTGTTAATGAAAAAATAAAATGACTTTAAATACCAATTTAAAAATAGAGACTCCAAGACTGTTACACCAGAGACTAAACACCAGAATGCTGTAATACTAAGAGCTGCCATTGTAACAGCAAGAGGATCCATCACTTTCTTTCTCAGGACTCTGTGGTATAGTTATTACTATCTTTTGACAAATGAGGGAACTTCGAGAAGATTAAGTTGTTAGCTCCAAATCACACAATTAGCACATGAATGGTGGCTGGATTCCAACTCAGTCCTGCCTGACTCCAGAGCCAAAGCCAGAGCAGCCAGGGAATACATATCACAGTTTGACAGCCCCACCCCAGAATGCTGGGGGAGTCAGGAATGACTGGCAGCTACTGTTATGCAGATAAGCACTATGCTGCAGTAGTGGTCATCTGCATTTTTTGAAGACAGTGGAAAGGAGTTAAGGAAACGTGTTTGCTTTTCAATAATTTAGACCTTAGAAAATTGTGACTGACTGAATTTCAAAGATTCAAATATAAGTCTTCAACCACGAATCTTCCAGTGCTTAAATTCAAATTTTGAAATATAAGATATGTTCTAATTTTCCTTATGCCTAATACCAAAGAATCAGAACCTAGATTCCCTTTGTATCAAAATATTTTGTGTAATGTATGAAAAAGGTGAAGGGATTAAGCAAAAAATAGCAAACAAACAAACAAACAAACAAAAAACAACTCATGGACACAGACAACAGCATGATGATTACCGGTGCGAAAGGAGGATGGGGGATAAATGGTGATGGAAGGAGACTTGACTTTGGGTGGTGAACACACAATACAGTATACCGATGATGTATTACAGAATTGTACACTTAAAACCTGCATAATTTTATTAACCAGTGTCACCCCAATAAATTCAGTAAAAATTAAAAAAAATATTTTGTGTAAGGTGCTAGATACAGCATTTTCCAGGTCTTATTCTCAAACTCCCTCAGTGGCACTCTTCTCAATAAAGCCACCTCTCTGGGAAGCAGCCAGGAAAGTGGCCACCAGATGAGTACCTGATATTCTGAATCTGGAGAAATGGATTAGACTTGTGCTATTTCAATTCCTTCCTACGGCTGGTCATGTATCTTCCTGCAAAGGAAGCCTGGAATAATCCATTGTCAGAAGGTCAGGGAGAAACAAAGGGTGTCACTGAGAAGAGGAAAGAGGAAATGAGTGGTAGGAGAAAGAGAAAGAAAAAGGCATTAGATAAAGTGCTGTTCATAGGACCATCATACACCATTGCCTGAGCTTATCTTACAATGCTGTTAGGGTTCATTTGCAGCAAAACAGTGGAGTAACAAATGTATACACAGATCTATGCATCAAAATCTTTCCACTTTTGGATGGGCATCTTGGAAACCACAAAAATTCATCCTGAATTACCAGCAAAGTAACAGCTGACCAGCCCTGGCTGGACTACACCTAAGACAGAAATGCATGTGACAAAGAGATCAGAGCTCCAGACCTCCAACCTAGATTCATTATTCCCTGTCATCTGATGCCATGCACCCTTTACAACCTTCCAGTTACATTTAGGCTCCTCATGTAATTGTTGTTGTTGTTTTTTAAGATTTTATTTCTTTTTAGAGAGAGGGCAAGGGAGGGAGAAAGTGAGGGAGAGAAACATCAACGTGTGGTCGCCTCTCTTACACCCCCTGCTAAGCATCTGGCTAGCAAACCCAGGCATGTGCCCTACCCAGGAATCGAACTGGCAACCCCTGGGTTCTCAGGCTGGCACTCAATCCACTGAGTTGCACCAGCCAGGGCTGCCATGTAATTGTCCTCAGTGAAACCACCACCACCATAGTAGTAGCAATAATCGTGACATCACAAATAACAATGGTAACAACAATAACTGAAATATTTTTGACATGGAAAATACACCATTTTTGACAGACTAATTCCTATATTTCACAGGCAAATTAATACATGTTAACTTTAAAAAGATATTTTCCTTCCTCACTCATGTAATTACAACTGCTCTGAGTTTGAGTTTCCTCAATCTGAAGTTCTCTGTATAAAATAGGGTATCTCACAAAAAATGACACAGAGAGAGATATTAATTCCATTACTTAAATGGGTCATGACTATTATCAATAGAAAACAGGGGTATTTTTGTTATATGTCAGATAGATCTCAATACAACTGGGAAAAGTTAAGAAGTGAATAAATACAATTAAAAATAGAAAATAGGCATAGTTTCTATATACAGGCATACCTCATTTTACTGTGCTTCACTCTGCACTTCATAGATGCGTTGTTTACAAATTGAAAGACAAGACCTCCTCCCAGCAAAAAGATTATGGCTCGATTTATTGCAGTGGCCTGGAACCCAACCCACAATAGCTGCAAGGTGTACCAGTATGCTGGAAATGAAAAGCTGGCCTTCCTTTCCTTAATTCCCACATAATTAATTTCCACAACTCTACATCAAGCAGGATTCTGTTTCTTTACTCTACTCTAGGTCTATATTGCCTTTGGCAATGTGAACAAACAGCAAACACACCCCATAAAGCACATGTCACAGTTTTAGGCCCTCTGATAAAGATTTCATAGAAGGTTAAATTACGGGAAAAAATGATATGAAGGGTAAAGCATAGGTTTCAATTATTCAGGCTGATGCTAATCTCCACTTCCATGTATATTCAAAATCTGTGTTAGTTAGACATCACTTTTGTAACTAACTGGCAAGATAGCAGACTTAAAACACTGCACTTGGTCTCTCTACCTGGAGTGTCCAAATCAATAAAAGCCTGCCCTCCTCCCCGACCACCCAAATCACTAAGTGCTCTGCTTCCTTTGCTATGTTCCCCATCTGGAAAGTTCAATCTGATAACATGTCTGTGAGGTGGACGGGGAGGTCTCCCATCTCCTATCGGCTAAAAAGTAATCACACAGCCAAGAAACAAAAACATCCCAAGCCACAGCTGGGTGATACTCTCTGGCTGTCAAGATAACCTGAGAAACAGGTCGGTGAAGACAGTAGAAAGCAAGCATGTGAAAGGGAAATATCTATGATTACAAAAAAAAAAAGCTGAGCAGAAACAAAACCCTAACATCAGCTTCTTAAGGAAAAGGAGTTTATCACAGGCTTATCCCTCTCCATTCTGTTTTATCCTGAACAGATATTTATATATTCATTCATTTATTGTGCTAAGCACTGAGTGCTAACAAGGTGCACGGTCATTAGTACTATGCTTTGCTCAGTCAAATAACACCCCTTCATTGCCTCCACTTCAGATGTATTTGTGGTTGACCATGACGACTCTCTTTTGGGGGAACTGCCCACTCTCTGGGTCTCTCTTCTAGAGATTTGGAACAACTCATTGGTGGGCACGGTCCACTCAACTATTTTTTTCCCTTTTAAACTGAAGCTCACTTTGCTTTCCCTCATGTTCATTAAAGAATGAGCTCCGCAGAGTGAAACAGCAGCACATTCGTACCTGGTCTCTCAGCCTCTCCTGGTGGCCCATGATTGCTGTGGCATGGTGAGGGTATTTCTGCTTTAGATGTTCCAGGAAAGCTTCTCTCTTCCTGTCCATCTCGGATGTTTGCATTCCCAGTATTTCTTTGGAACTTCGAGGCCCACCTAGGGTGTGTCTCCTTGGGATATTTCGGGAAGCCTTGGAAACTGAAACTCGACTGTTCCCATTAGAAAGGCGTTCCTTGGTTCTGCGACATTCTGCATCTTCTAAAGACGTTACATGCAAATTGCTTTTTCCTTGTTCTGGAAGGCAAAAAAAAAAATATATATATATATATATGAATATGGTTCACAATTAATGATTTCACACTAGAAATCTCATTTACAGAATACTGAAAGGGTTGTGGCAGCTGTTGATGTATGAATATAACTTAGCAGATTTTGTGTGTGTGTGTGTGTGTGTGTGTGTGTGTGTCAAGAAGGAAAAAAGTAAACAATGAAGAAATATGAAAAATTGCCCTTTAGAAATGAAGATGCTGAAGCAAAAACTGTGCTATTTCTGACTTTTCCCTTGAGGTTATTCAAAATGAGAAACTTGGTCAGATGAGTTTGTAAGCAATTGAGTTACCCCTTACTTCATCTGTAATTGGAGAAAAGAACTTCAGTGATTCTGATTATTTCTTTATTTTTAATTCCATCACATGGATAACAGGATTTTTATATTTAGATTTTTATCTTTTTAAAGACTGACTTTTTAAAAAAGGCTAATTTTTATATTTTTATATCTAAAGGCGGTTTCTGAAATATTTGTTTCATCTCCAAGATCAAAAGTACCTATTATAATAATTGACATGTGAACCACTTGCAAGTTCAATTTCCCCCTATTAGCACAAACCAAGCAAGCATAAGAATATTATTATAGGGCCTTGGCTGGTGAGGCTCAGTGGATTGAGCACCGGCCTACAAACCAAAGAGTTGCTGGTTTGATTCCCAGTCTAGGGCACATGCCTGGGATGCAGGCCAGGCCCCCAGTAGTGCATGTATGAAAGGCAACCACACAGTGATGTTTCTTTCCTCTTCTTTCTCCCTCCCTCCCCCTCTCTAAAAAAAAATAAATAAAATCTTTAAAAAATAAGAATATTATTATAGGTAATAATTGAAGGAACGTAAAGGCTTAGTTAGACACACTTTTCCTGAAGTGGACTTCATCTGAATCACACAATGAAAAGGTCATTTTGAAGGCCTTGACCTAGACACCCTATCTTTGCCCTGGCCTGGGACAAGCTGATTTCTACTTAGCATGGAGGTTGGCAATGGCAGTGTTTGGAGGGCAGGACATGAACAGGGCCTCTCCATTCATTCTCAGTGACTAGGGTGTCAGTGTGGAATATTCCAGTTAACTAAGAAAAGGGAGTTACTCCTTTTAAAACCAGAATAGGAAGAGAAAGTAATGAGCATTCAGAAGCACTTCAGGTTCTGTCACAGGGAGCAGTTCTTAAACAGTAATACAGGGACAGACAGAAAAAATGTCCTTGTCCACTGAACCCCCTAGAAAAAGCATGTGGCTGGGTCTCAGGAGTCCTGCCTGCCTTTAACCCTAGTCTTAGAACGAACAAGTTAGCCTCTCTCAGCCTCACTCTCTTAATGAATAAAAGGAGGATGTTGGACTAGCATTAGGTATGCAAACAGCCTTCTAGCTCTAAAGGCTTTAAAGCTACTCTACAATATTTTTTAAAGTAAGTTTCCAATGAGAGCTTATTTGCTATTATTTATCTTTAAAAGTTATGTGTAGAAAAGAGATGCAATACTTGAGAGTTCTAGATTTGAGTCTCAGATAAACAGGGAGCCAAACCTTCACACCAGTGACGTAAAGCAACAGGTGCCCAGAACTTAGGTATGCACTAGTTCTGCAGAAGGCAACACCGCCGACAGTTTCCTCCACCATTGCTTAGAAACATCTGTGTATAGAACTTGAGGTTTGTTAGGCACAGAGAATATTTTAATCTCAGGCTGCTTTTCCTGTTCCAGTCTTCCACCCCTAAATGCACATTCTGGGAATAATTCTTCTTGTTTACCCTTCACTTCTCATTACATTGCTAATTACTGCATCTCCATCAGACACTTGATGAGAAAAGGGAGGGAAAAACCAGCCAGAAGAGTTCATTCTTCTACTTTTCAATAGTCTCAGCAGTAGATTTAGAAAAAGAAGATGATGATAGAACTATTGGTTAAAAAGATATTGGGACATAAACTGTAATTTTATTGATTTTGCTTACCATCTTATTACATGGATTCACATGATGGCTACCTTTTTTGTTATCTCTTCTTTAAAATGCAGAAGAAATAGAAACTATGGAATAAAGCTAGATGCAGAAAATGCCATATCTCAGGCTGGTAAACGTGTACAATCTGAAGAGATTTAGCTTCATCCTTTGAGTGTGCATGTGAACATGAGTTTTGTATTAGCTAAAAGTTGTATGTCTGGCCTAACACTATTAACTTTTTTTAAAAAATATTTATTGATTTGAGAGAAAGAGGGTGAGAGACAGAGAGAGAAAGAAAGAAATCAATTTGATATTCCACTTATTTAATCATTCATTGGTTGATTCTTGTATGTGCCTGACCAGGGATTGAACCCACAACTTTGGCATATGGGATGATGCTCCAATCAACTGCGCCACCACCAGGGCATAACACTGTTAACTTTTAAAGGGAGTTTTAAGGTTACTTTTTAACTTCATTAAAATAATATATTTAAAAATTATCCAGGATAGCTAAGTTAATGCACAGGGCTGAATCTCTAGAAAGGTGATTTCTTTACATGGGCATAATACACAAACATCCACATATACCCATCTGGATAAACACTAGCCCCTCAAATACCAACAGGAGCTGAAAAGGTCCTTTTCTGACTTTCTTTGTCACATAGACTCACAAGAACTATTGTTCTGTTTCATCCAAGGCCCCTCGGAAGAGAGCCAGACGGCCAGAACAGTAGCCCCTTGGAGACTGAAGAGTTTCCCATTTTCCCCTTTGAAGTAAATTGAGAAAGGAGTGCAGGGGGTAGGGGTGGGGATGGGGGTTGAGTCAGTCAATCTTTTGTCAGCATTCACCTCTGAGCAGCCCCAAATTACTGACTCTCTAAAACCCCAATCTTTCCAAACACTTTGCACTGGGACAGTTACATCAACCTTCCAGTGCTTTTCCATTTTTCCTCCTTCTTGTGGATTCCTCTTAAAACGTCTCCATTTGCTTAACAAGGTTCAATGCCATTTGGAGGAAAGCAGCAAGTGGCATCAGTGGTTAATGCACCAATGTCTAAAGGCACGGTCTGTGTCTAACGGCCCTTAGCCCTCGGAGTCCACTCCTTCCTCTGGTCCCACCTTCCTGCCTCGCACTTGGCTTCAGCTCTGTCGGCCCCATCGGCCTCCACCCCACCACCAGGGCCTGCTTCACCGTCACCAGCACCCACAGCAACAGCACACCAGCTGCCAATCCCATGCCTGAGGGAGAAGTGACCACTCTACCATTCCAGTCACTTGGGGAGAATGTGGTCTCTTAACTGAAGAGAAAACTAAACAGGGATAGAAACAAACAAGCAAGGGAGCAGGCGGAGGTTGTTTCATCACAATTCCACAGCCATGGAGTCAGAGATCTGCGTCCTGCCAATTCTTCATTATCCACATGAATAGAAGATCCCAGCCATCAAAACAGAAATACAGTCCTGTTTCTTGTCCAGAATGCTTTGGTGCTAACATTTAAATATGGGAGTGTCTACTTGTTTGCTATTCTGGGAATCCATGTCAAACAAATAAGGAGGCCGTAGTATGAAGACAAGGCTTCCAGTTTCCCCTTCCTGCCCCTCCCAGCCTCTGCACAACCCGGAGCAACTCCTCCTAGTAGCTCCATTCAAGCCAGACAAACAGCAAAACAGGAGCTTTGGCAGAAAATAGTTCCCTCAACACTGCCTGGAGCAGAAGTTGGGACAAGGAAGGCAGAAGTGCTAGAAGAGACACTGTTCTGAGATGCAACGGGCTTTCTGGCTGGGATGTACACATTCTGAAAGGCAAAAGGAGAAAGTAGGGAATGAGGTGGGTACTAAACAGACAGGATTAGGGGATATGGGTCATCTACACAGCTAGCTGGCCAGCGGGCAGGTGACCTCAGGAGCTGCCAAGGCAGGCTTCCTGGCCACAACTCAAGCTGCTTTGTCTGTGTCAGCTGGCCTGCAACAAGGAACTGGGACCTTGTGTCAGTCAGGTGTCACACTCCTGTTCTCTTTCTGAGAGCCAGTGACAGGACTGAAGGCTTCCCTGAGATGTTATTCCCTGGTCAAGATTAGGTAGGCCACAGCCTCTTAGGGAAAAAGGAGTCCCTCGCTTCTTTATAGTGGCTTCGGGTTAGCTGCCTCTAAGACGTAGCTTTTTAAATTGTGTGCAGGAACATCATGGGGAGTTGCTGTTTTGTCAGTTGGACAATTTTTCTGGGCCCATCGTGGCAGCAGCGGTGTTCTGTCTGTCTGTGTATTCAACATAATGTCCTCCCACCGCACACACTGGAAGACCATGCGCTGCTGTGCCCCTCACCCATCTGGGGCCTTGTACAAATTCCAGTCAATGCAATGCAGGCAGAGTGCTGTGGGCCACCTTTAGATCTGGCCCCTGGACCTCCTGAATAATTTTCCGTGCCCTTTCTTTCTCCTCTTGGGGCAGGTGACTGCAAAAGCTCCAGGGGGAGTCTCCTAGGCCTTGGGAAAGGACGTCATGACTAGACAGAAGGTGGCTGGGTCCCAGAGTCAGCCTGAAGGTGGGCCATCCAGGAGACCCACCTGGTCAGGAACAGCTATATTCTACTGTGTTTGAGAAATTAACTTTGATTATGCTAAACCACAAAGATTGCTATTTTAGCAATCAGTCTATCTGACTAATATATATCACATATTCTGTTCGGGGTCTACAAGATTCACCAGTTTTCCAGATCCTGTGTTAAAATCATACAGATCACCATACACAAATGGGCAGAAAAGGTACAGCTAAAACCAGGCCATTACATTCCTCTAAAAAACCTTTAAAAATGATGTAAGTGTGGCCCTGGACAGTGTGGCTCAGTTGGTTGGAGTGTCATCCTATAAACCTAAAGGTTGCAGGTTTGATTCCTCAGTCAGGGCACATGCCTAGGCTGTGGATTTGGTCCCAGTCAGGGTGGGGGAGCATGTATGGGAGGCAACCAATCTCACATCCATACATCACTGTTTCTCTCATATCGACATATCAGGGTCTGCCTCTCTCTCTTTCTCCCCCGCCCCATTTCCTCTGTCTTTGGAATGAAAAAAAGTAAATAAAGAAGAGCATATCTCGTATAGATTTTAGGCAAAATAGGTAGAGTCCCTTCCTTCCTCGCTCAGAAAAACATTTTGTCTCAAGTGTTTGTTAGTTGATTAATTCATTCATTCATTCACAAAAATATGTGAATGCCTGCTGTGTACACTGAAAGGAATTAGGAAATGTAGTGAAGTGGTGACCAAGATAGCCCTAATTCCCTTCCCTCATAATGGAGTCCACATTATAATTAAGGAGGCAGATAACAAACAAATAATATGTACTAGAAATGTCATGTCATGATAAGTGCTATGAAGACTAAAATAGGATGAGGATCAGAGAGTGAGGGGGAAATTTTACAGGAGATGTCTGAGCAAAAACCTGACTGACTACCTGGACTTCGCAGGCTTGCACTCTGTGGGGCTGCCAATGCTATTTTTTTGTCCAGCGTGAGATATAATTGATATAATATCATCCAAGTTGAAGGTGCACAATGTATTAATAATTTGCTACACTTACACACTATAAAATGATTACCACCATTGTGTATACTAAGTATCTTTTTTTAAAAAATGTTTTACCAGGTTTTTTTAAAGATCTTAATTTATTTATTTTTAGAGAGAGAGGAAGGGAGGCAGAAAGAAAGAGAGGGAGCGAAACATCAGTTGGTTGCCTTTTGCACATCCCCAACAGGAGGCCTGGCCCACAACCCTGACACATCCCCTGACCTGGAATCGAACCTGTGACATTTTGGTTTGCAGGACAACATCCAACCCACTAAGCTATACCAGTCAGGGTAACACTAAGTGTTTGAAAATGCTAGAGAGATCAGGAGGTGGGGGAGGCAAGCAGGTAGCTGGCAGCACTTCATCTGTATAGGGTTTTAAGACCTTAAAAGGTAGAGCAAAAGCAGACACATCCAGGCTGCTGGTGGGCAGATATATGCATCCCAAGGAACACCGAAGGACCACCCTGAGGGGCCCATAGCCTTCAAAGGGAACATGATATAGTTAGATTCGAATTTAACCAATAATTATTGAGTGCCTGCTCTATATAATGCACTTGGCAGTACACTTACACCCTATTATTTACATAGTAGCCTGCCTATTCAGTCATGGAAATCCCATTGATTAAAAACTGTTCTTGAAGCAACCATATGCCCCAGTTTGTCAAAACAGATCTGGGTTACAACTGTTGTCCCAGAGAAATTATTTATAGTGTTCCCTTTCACTCACAAAAGCGTCTCAGTTTGGACAATAAGTTACATGATCACCCAAGAGGTCCTTATCTACTGCTGTAATTGATTAACTCAAAGCCCTAGGGTGGTATGATTAGCCTTTCTTCAACAAGTATTTATCCAGTGCCTTCAGCTTGTCTGATGTTCTGTTAGGTTTTGAGAATGCAAAGATGAATACATGCAATATCATGTTGTAATTGGTGAAACATACACATAAAAAATAGAATGGACATCACAGTGACAACAGTGGATGGACGGATGATGTGGGCCTCAGTGTATGGTCCTTGTGCTGAACAAATAACTAAAGATGAAGCCATACTCCTTTTCAACACCATTGTGATCCAGAACTCAACAGGATCTTAAAGATCTAACCTGAATTCTTATCCCCCTTTCAGCACCTCCCCAGCCACCCCTTCCCATCTCCCTGACCTCTGACTGCTGGAGTGTGGCAGAGGACATCTGGATGTTTCCTTCTGCACGTGCACCCCATCCTAGCGTGTCTCTCAGAGTCCCCAGTCCTCTCTCTGTTCCAGTCACAAATACCCAAATTGTAATCAACATCTCCACTTGGATGCCTGATAACCTTGTCATTCCTAAGAGATCCAAAAGATTTTCTGCACATCACCCACTTCCCAGCCATAAACACCTTCTCATCTACACCCCTCAAACGCTGACCCATTCAAGAAAATGGCAACTTCCTCCATGCAGCTGTGCTGACAAACATTTTTGAAGTCATCTTCGACTTCTCTGTTTCTCTTATGTCCCACATCCAACCCCTCAGCAAATTCTTTTGGCCTAACCTTCAACACATGTTGAGACTGTTTTCTTATCACCACCTTCTGCTCTACTACCTGCTGGTCCAACCTAGTGCAATTTCTTGCCTGTTTTACTGCAGAAGCCTCCTAACTGGCCTCCCTGCCTGCCCCTCCCCACTCCCACTTGGGTTATTCTCTGTACAGCACTCAGTATTACACTTTCCAGGACAAGTCAGACCTGCCAGCAGCTGCCCACCTCCCTTAAAATAAAAACCCAGGTCCTCACCACACTGTCACAGTCCCTATGTGGTCTGGCCTGGGATTACCTCCTAACCTCTTTTCCTCCCATCTGTTTCCCACATTCTTGCTGTTCGTTCTTTGAACATGTCCTTGCCGTTCCCTCCCTCATCTTTTTCGGATGTCTGTTCCAATATTACACCAATGAGGTTTTCCTTAATAATCTTACCTGTAGTTTCACCACCCCCTACCCACCCATGCACTCCCTATTCCCTGCCTAATTTTCCCCCACAGAATTACAGGGTTGCTACATAAAATACAGGATGCCCAACTAAACCTGAATTTTAGATAAATAATGAAGCATTTTAATGTATGTCCAAAATATTATGGAATATACTTAATACTAAAAAAAATCATTCGTTGTTTATCTGAAATTCAAATTTAACTTGACATCCTACATTTTTATTTGCAAAACCTAGCGACCCTGCCATCCAGCATGCTATATCTTTTACTTATTTGCTCATTATCTGTCTCTACTGCCCCCATCCGCCCAAATTTAGCCCTTAGAATACAAATTCAATGAAGGCTAGTCTGTTCCCGGCTGGAACCCAGCAACTAAAACAGTGACTACCACATAACAGGTGTTTGATATTCATTGAACAAATGAATAATGAATAAAATGATTATACTCTCTCATTGTGACCATCTCCAGTCTTGGAAGCATCTTTGAATTGCTGTGTTTGTTTGAAAGTTATTTCTTAAATTGGTCCTATTATAATTGCCCATCTAGATTCCAAGTCATTTATCTCAGCAAAGGTCCAGAGGCTGAATTTCCTGCCTTAGGATTCTGTCCTATCACATAAGGGGGTGGGGGGGGGGCAGAGGGAGAGGAGGGAGCCTTATCTCCTGCTGGACCCCACCGACCAGGCGCCTTCAAGGAGAATGCTCTGCTTTGGAAGTGCAAACAGAACGCCTACACTGATAGATGTTAAGTCTCTGACTCTCCAGGGTGTACTAAACTAAACCTAAAAGTTCCCTGCATTTCAGTTGGGGGAGGGGGTGTCTATCCCTTGTAATTGCATTTTCTTCTGTCTGGCTTACTTTTGCATTTTCAGTGTGGATGAGTCATTTGTTATTTCCCTTTAGTCTTAAAAAAAAAAGCACACACACACCTTTTCCCCTGTGCATAATCCCTACTCCTACGCACAGCACTATTGCCCCCAAAGCAAGTCCTTTAGTTACTAACTGGGCCCTGGATCAACCTGGGGCACGGGGCTGTTATGAACGTGCTGCCTGTAGGATGCCATCGGATAGGCTCTGGCATCAGACACGTCAGACACTGGAGAGCACATAAATCCTTTCTGTACCCAGTTTCTCGGTGAAATTTCTTTGGAATAACACAAGCTTCTGGAAATTCCCTACGGAAAAGACAAGTCTATTATAAAAACAATTAAAGGGAAACTGCCCAGGGAAAATTCACCAAAATTGTCTCACAACTCTCAACTTTTGAATTAAAACACACAGAAGATTCAGAGTTCCATCTATCATCGAGATATACACTGCACCCCTACTGTTCTGATCTGGAAAATGAAACATCTCCCAACTCCGTGATTTAACTTGAAAATACAAAACTTGCATCCACGAGGCATTTGCCTCCTGGATTCCCCCAACCAATGAATGGAAATGCTGCCGCCCCAGACAGAGCTTCAAAGAAGCAACTGCTTTCTCCCGCGGCTGGAGTAATGCGTATGAAAAGCTGCTTTTAGCGATGTATTTGTCATTGCCAAGAGATACATCAGCTACTGACTGCTTACTGTGCTACAAATAGGACATCACCACGCCACTCCTTTGCTTCAGAAAATCCTGCCAGAGTCAAACCCAAGAAGTCACAGCTCTCCACTCAGTTTTGAAAACGCACCATCACAAGAAATACGCCTTTTCTTTGCCTGCGCCCCATCTCCAGTTATAAAACACAGCAAGCGGCGAGGGGCACGCGTAACTGTAACTCCATCTTTGAATGAGTCTGTTACTTACCCCGCATGTGTCTGCTGTCTGCAGAGTAAGGAAGGCACGGCTCACATTTCTGGCTTTCATTTTCTTCCATTGTCCCTGCCTACAGCACAAGCTCCTCTATGCTCTTTAAACTTCCCAGCGTAGTTCTGAAAGCTCTCGGAAAGCTCTTAGAAGGGGTCCGCGGGTGGGGAGGAGGAAATGGTGCGAAACCACACCCCAAACTATTCTCCACTCCCTTGCAAAGTCTCTCTGGCCGGAGAAAAGTGCGTTCCAGCGCAGATCCTCCAGTGCCTGCGTCCCGCGTCCGTCCTCCCGCCCACCCGGCCGGTCCCAGAGGATTGGGGTTGTGCTCCCGGCCGCCGCCGCCCCTGCCGCGCAAGGGTCGGCCCCGCGCCGCGCGCTCCCGACGCCCCAACAGGTGATGGGCCTTCCTCCCCGGGACCCAGACTGCCTATCTCCACCGCTGCAAACTGCTGAGACTTCGCAGCCAGCGGGTGGGAAACATTACACACAAGATCACCCGCAAGAACCTTCTGGTCTCTTTAATCTCAGACACGGAATCAGCCTCCCAAACAAGTTGATACACGTATTCATAAACAGCCAACTGCTGAAGTGCCAAATTTCAGTGAAATCCCATTTTAAAAATTTAGAAAGAGTATATGCTGAATGTTAAGTAAACACTTTCTGGCACTGCTTGGAGCCTGATTAACATACACAGAGGTTGTTTACTTTTGACACAATCCATTTCAATCACTTAAACTAGGCTTTGGAAAGTCTACTTATTTGCCTACACTTTGACTCCTCTCCTTTCCCCTGCACACACACACACACACACACCACGGATCAGAAAAGTAAATTGGTAAAACCAACCTTCTGAATCTCTCAAGTTAATTACTTTAAGATATCTGAAAGGCAACGAAAATGCTATGGGCAGAGAGGTATGTCCAATTTACTCTTTTTCCTAAACTACCTACAAGTATTTACTATATTCTTTACCGAGTCCTTGAAAAACTGGCAAATTTCCCGGAAAGTGAAAATAGGCACAAGGTTCACAAAAAAGGATGGGAAAATCATCTAAGCGACATCAGCTCTGCTGTTCCAGCTATCTGAAAGTAACACAACCAACCACTAGTAGGGAAAGTGTGCTGTTCTCATCTGTAGGGGCCCCTGCTTTTGAGGGGGGAAAGGACAATCGTTAGCCTGCTGACCATACCTTGACCCTATTTACAGGCTAACTGGGCAAGGTTTTAGATTCATTTAGATCAAAAATTTGTGCAGAACAATGGCTGGCCTATCCTCCCGATTCTGACCTTGAGTCACCTGTGTGTTTGGCAGTGTGGGGGACATGTTTTGGCCATTTAGGACAAAAAGATGTGGAAGCCCCTAAAGGACAAAGGATACAGACCAAAAGAAAAGTGGGCATGCCACAGAGTGAGCTAAACTCACATCAGGAAGGGGAGGACCCTCAACTCCTAACAGGATCCTCCTTGAAATCCGAGATGTGAATCTTCCAGAAAGCTAAAGCCATGCCTGGCAGCAAGAATGTGCGCAGTTGGGTTAATAATGGAGATAACTCAAGGCTTCCATGCTTTTGCAACTGAACTAGCTGGTAATCTTGCTTTTAGGAGGAACTAATCTTACACAGTTTCTGTACTAGTGGCCCACAGGGGAATGCCAGATGAATCTTGTTTTGTTTAACCTTTCTATCTCCTCAGGTGTAAAATGTTCATGAAGCAGGGATCTGTGTCGAGTTCCCAAGCCCACATTAGCCTGACCTTGTAGAACCGTTGTGTATTTGTCTTCAAAGTATTGTCAGAAAGGATGGGGGTTGGAGGGTGCTGAGGAAGAAGAGAGAAAGAGAGAGATTGCAACCCCAGGGTGTCAGTCTAAACCAGATGTCCTTGAGCCTTGGGCTTGTTTCAGTGTGTGAATAGCCCCTCCCAGCAGCTCCTACCTGTCACTTGACACAGTACAGAGAAAAAGAAAAACCAGGATAAAAGAGACCAGAATGTACCTACAACAGATAGCAGCCTGCCCTGCCCCAAGGAGGGGTGGAACTTCCTATCTCAATCCAGGCAGAAAAAATAATCCATTTTAAAATGTGGATTATGCTTTCCTGAAGCTGTTTGGAAAGTGTGAGAACAGCCCTTCAGGGTCCTGTTGATCCCCAGTTGATCCCCAGTTGGTCAAAATGGGGAAGCTCTCTCACTAGTTCCGAAATTCAGTTAGTTTCCTGGCGGCCCAAGGCACCCCTTCAGCAGACCACGTGGTCAAACTGCTGGGACCCTCCCCTCCCCCACAGGCAAAGCAGCCTGTGGCCTTCATAGATATTCCTCAAGCAAAACTCTATGTGGAATGCACAAGGCAGAAAGGCATTCCAGTGAAGCTAATTGTCATAAATCGTCAAAGACCATGAAATATAGACATGTATTACAGCACAACGTGTTCTCTTGAATAGTTCAACTTCCTGGCCATTCTATAGGGGAAAGCTTCTTTTGGACTCGTTACTAGCCCTTTGTCCTCCTTGAGAACTGGAACTGAAACAGTTTGAGAAACCCCTGTGGCGATACTGTTCTCACATTGATAGCATACATCTCTCCCCAAAGCACACAGACCTTACTCAAAACTTTTCGCTGTGAGTGTCACTTTCTTTGAGAAGGGTCTCTGGAAAACAGCAACTGAGTTCTGCAATCTACATAAGCTCAGTAACTCAGACTTTCGTGGAAAATACTATTGTTGTCATTGCTGTTACTGTGGAGATGTTTCTGGAAGAAATACTATTTGAAGTACCATGGTTTTCTGTTTAATGTAATTTCTGGGTTTAAAAATTGCCATTACAAACCAATCTGCCTACTGCTATCCTTTGAAATTTGCTGTGAAAGGCAGAAGGGAAGCGGGAAGAAGTTGAAATTTGATTTTCCTCCAGTTATCTAGAGAGCTGCAATAATGATACCAGAGGCTAAATTTTCAACTCCATTTCTGTTAACCAAGGAAGGTGCAAGACTATTTCTTGGTTAATGGCTCCATATGTTGGTAATTCACAACTCAAAATGAAGTAACACACAAAAAAAGTGTCATTTAAATGGAAAGACAAGAGATGGGATAAAAGACTGCTGTTAGTGAAAATGGCAATTTTGCAGGCAGACCTAAACTCTTACAGGGCTAGGTCACTGTTGGTTTTCATAATACAACTTAAAGGGGCATCTGTCATGATGGACATTAATCATAAGAGTCATAAACTATTACGTACGATGTCTCAGCAGGTCAATTTAATTACAGGGCTGTGAAAAGCATATCAACCTCCTTCATGTAAATTTTTAAAGAGAGAAATCATTGCAAGAACCAAGCATATGTGGAATTACCCTACATTTCAATTTTTTAAAAATTCTAAGTCCCAAGGACAAGATAGCTTAAAATGATTTGACATCAGGACACAAGAGAAATAACTAATGCTTGCTGACAACATAGAATGTGATTTTCAAAGGCACTGATAACCATGAAAGGAAAACAAAACAAAATAAAGTAAAAAACAAACAAAACAAAAATCTTTCAACCAGGGGTCTCATGTTTGATGTGTTACAGGTCTCCTTTCTAAGGACACACTGCTGTATGTCCCCCTGTAATTCAGAAATTAAGGACTTGACAATATTTGCTTAAATGGATAATCTGGTGAATGAAATGTAGGGTCCTCAGTCCTAGTTTTGCCAGCAGTGTGTCAGCTGGCTAGGGCGACCTTAAACTTAAATGTAAACCAAAGGACTGGTGACAGAGAAGGGAGACACTATTAATAATTACAGTAAGACAAGATGCAGAAACCATTGCTGTTCCTGGCAGACCAGCACAGATGGCCACCTCTGTGTAGTCCAAGATAAGCCCTAGTGCTCCTCAGGTTTCCCAGTGTGCAATGAGCAGGGCAGCACTAGCTGTCTGAGTTTCCCGACACAGACCTCACAGGAGAAATTTAAGCCTGGATTAAAGGTGTGAACCTCCTTTGAGCTGTATGAGAAGCCTCACCAACAATTTCACATCAGGAAACAAATTCCACTGTATGACATTTTGTATGATTCATCCATCATAAGAGAATTTTCCTTCCTGTGTGACCAGGAGGGAACTAGGCCACCATTTTTCTCTCAAGCTTTCTCTTCAGAAGGTAACCCAACTTCCCGCTCTTACTTGCTGACCTTAAAATCCCAGCTGCTTCCAGGAGAAGTGAGGTGGCCCCGAGACCCCACCACTCATGTCTCCCTATTCTGATGTCTTGGAACTTTCCTCCCACACCCCATACAAATTCCTCATGGGGTTATAAATATGAACTGCACTTAGAGCCAATGTGTTAATACTTTAAGCATATTTGCTTTCTTTTCAAGAGAATCCATTGATGTTCATTTTTATCGTGGTTTCTTTTCATCTCTTTTAAGTCGGAAGAGGATGGAGAGCAAAGACCCTGTCTGTAGAGCACCATAGCTGGGGCTGCCACATGTGCATCGTGGAGAAACCCATGCTCAGCTTTGCTACTGGTCACCACAGACCAAGTCTGGATTCCAGGTGGCAGTTTTTAAGCAAAAATCGCAACTTGTATATCCCAGAGTGAGCCAAACCATGACCTGTTACAGAGGTCTCCAAGGCCCAGGGTGGGAGCCATGAGAATGTGAGAACTTCCACAGGTACAAACACCCTGCTTGTTCCCTCCTCACCCAGCGGTACCGTTCTGAACCCTTTGAAAACAGTCTTTGATGAGGCCTCACTGGAAAGGAATTTCCAGGCCCTTTTATTCTGCCCTGGCCCTTCTCCACATGCCCACCCTCAAGGCTGCAGTAAGCTGTGGAGGAGGCAAGAGCCACGGAAACAAATCACAGAGCCATTAAACTGGGATCATGTGGTTCACATCTCCGGATTGCCTTCGCCCATTTTGCAGATGAGCAAAGTGAGGCTTGGAGAGTTCATTCAAATCACACTCCCAACTCTCCCATCTCCTAATTGGCCTTCTCTCAGTTACACTTGTTGACTACTTAAGATCTTTTATCTTCTCCTCTCACAACTGCCCTTGGGGACCCCTCAATTATTCTAATTTCTTTTTACTATGCTGAAGTGGAGAACAAAGTCAGGGAAGGTAAAGAGAAAGGTATACCTATTTTCCTAACTCACTCCCTTCTCAGCCATAGCCTGGGGCCTGGTACTATTTGGGGGCTCGGCTGGACAAGCTGTTTGGCACCAGGCAGCAGGGCCTTCTCTGTTCATGAGACCTGGTGTGTGCTGGCCTGCGTGCTGGTCCCCTAATCCCATGAGCATCCCAGATGGGTGGGTCTCCCTGAGGAGATGAGGCTAGGATCAGCCATGCACACGGAGCGGAGCCTGCACACAGTCAGGTGAAGGAAAGAGCCTT